CCTCCCTTCCTTTTTCTCTCCCTCCCTCTTCGTCCCTTTACTTTTTTCTTTCCTTCTTCCTTGCTTTTTATTTTTTGCTTTCTCTTTCTCTCCCTCACTACCTCCCCTCTTCCTTCTTTCCCTTCTTTCTTCTTTGTTACTCTCTCCTTATTTTCCCTCTCTCTTCTTTTGTCTTCCTTCCTTCCTTCTGTCCTTTCTTCCTCCCTCGCTCCTTCCCTTTCTCCCTCCCTCCTTTATTTTCCCTTTTTCTTTCTTTCTCTCTCTTCCTTCCCTCCTTCCTTCTTTCCTCCCTTCCTTCCTTCCCTCCCTCCCTCCCCCTTTCTTTCTTTCTTTCTTTCTCTCTTTTTCTTTCTTTCTTTTTCTCTCTTTGTTCCTTCCTTCCCTCCCTCCCTCTCTCCCTCTCTTCCTCCCTCCCTTCCTTCTTCCTTCCTTCCTTCCTTCCTTCCTTCCTCTCTCTCTCTCTCTCTCTCTCTCTCTTTCTTTCTTTCTTTTTCTTTGTAATGGGGCTTGCACTTAGGGCTTGGGTATTACCCTTTAGCTTTGTCCCTCAAGTTAAAACTTGAGACACCCCCCCATTTCTGGATTCTTGGTGGTAAACTAAAGATAACATTCTCAGGCTGGGAAGGTAGCTCAGTGGTAGAGTGCTTGCCTTGCAGGCATGAGGCCCTGGGTTCAATTCCTCAGTGGTGCTATGGCTCAAGTGGTACAGCGCTAGCCTTGAGCTGAAGAGCTGAAGGACAGCGCCCAGGCCCAGAGTTCAGGTCCCACAACTGACCAAAGAAAAAAGATAACATTCTCAAGATTTCCTGCCCAGGCTCACTTTGAACTGTGATTCACAAAACTCAACCTTTTGAATAGCTAGGATTACAGATGTGAGCTACTCTACTGGTACCTTACTTCTCAGCTTCATTTGGTGATCTATCCATCCCATCATCTAGAACATTTGCTTCTTGGTCTCCAGCCTGACACTTTGAAGGTTCCCAATACCTGTACCAATTTACAGAAGGAAGAATAAAGTAGTGAGTGCAGCTCTACTAAGGGCATTCATTTACCCCTAATTATCCCAGGTAGGTTCCAAGAGGACTTCAACAAAGATCATAACAAGTAGACCAGAGTGAACAAATGCATCTTTTATTTTTTCTCTTTATCCAAGGGTAAACCTGACCAACTATTTGGGCCAGGAAGAGGAGAAAGGACTGGGCTGTATGAGAATCCCTGAAAACCTAGCATCCCCCCCTACTTCACTTGAAAGTTGAGGTTGGGATTGGGAGTGGGGCCACCACTGTGTAGCCTCTGTTCTCCCTCACTGTGGATACCCAGCAAAGATGGATTTATAATAGACTGACTCCCTCTACAGATATGCTCATGTTGACAAGCACAGAGAGGGTTAAGGGAATCCATGTCATTGTTCAAATATGTGCCTTCAGTCTCTAGAGCAGTTGGCACACATAAAGCCCTGATTGCTGGCAATGAAGTGGATGCTGATGGCACCAAGACACAGGGCCTGTAGGTAAGAGGGAGAAAGATGAGGCTGTCAGGAACTCCTCACAAAAGTTACCCATAAGAAGCTCTCAACTCCCCACCCCTCAAAGAGTGTACCATTCATTCCTGACTCCTCTGATTGCTCTGTTTAATTGTATTGGGTTCTGAGGTCAAGGCCACGCATTTGCTAGGAAGGTACTCTACCACCTTTGCCAGGCCCTTCCCTTATCCCTTTTGGATTTTAGTGATGTTTCAGATAGTATTTTACAAGTTTGATCTAGACACGTTTAGACTAAGATCTTTCTACCTACACCTTACATATTGCTGGAGATTATAGGTGTGAACATTGCACCTGGCCCTCCCTCTCCTTAACACCTTCCTCAATCCTCCTCTTTCAGAGTGTTCCCACTGGTCTTCTCAATAGTTCTTCATCTATTTGAAGAATTCCCCCTTCTATGTACCCCTGTCCCCCTTTGCAGTGCTAGAGATGAAACCCAAGTAATCATGCATGCTAGAAAGGCATGCTGCCACTGAGACCAATTCCAAGCCCACCTGACTTTTCCAATGTCCCCAGTCTTCCTAGATTCTGCTGGTATGCTCTCTCTCTCTCTCTCTCTCTCTCTCTCTCTCTTCTTAAGACAATTAATTACATTCATTCTTTAAAAAATCAACCACCCTCATTCTTGGCTTTGCCTTTCCTTAGCACCTAACCCTATCCTGAGAATGTTCCAGAAATGTCCATGCATCTGGGCAAGCATTCCCTTTAAATGTTGCCTCATTCCCCAGCATTTGTCCATGTAATCCTCACCTAGATTTGGGGCCAGGAAAAAAGGGGCTCTGCCACAGAAGGTAAAATACCACCTTAGAAGATGCTGGAACAGATGCAGATGAGGCTGAGGGCTCAGGCGGAGCCTAGAGATAAGAAAGGACAAGAATCAAGCTAAGTTTGGGTACAAGGCCACCTCAATGAGGTCAGGTTGCGAACTGGGGTGGGAGATACTGACCGATAACCCCAAAGATATCATGGGTGGATGGTATAAGATGACATCAATAATGACTAAAGCCAGCATGATCAGAGATACAGTTAACAGAAGGTATAGTTTGAAACGAGCAGGTGCTACGGGATTCGGCGCATCTGTGGTAAGGCAAAGGCAGGTAAGGAGTGAGGACTTATGTGCTACCCCTCTTGAAGGTGAGCAGGTCTTCTTTTAGACAATTTGTACCAATACTGGTGCTTAAACTCAGGGCCTGGGTGCTGTCCTTTGGCTTAATGTCTCAAGGCTGATGCTCTACCACTTGAACAAAAGCTACACCTCCAGATTTTTGGTGGTTACTTAGATTTAAAAGGCTCATATTTTCCTGTCTGGGCTGGCTTTCAATTATGATCCTCAGATTTCAGTAACAAGTATTATAGGTTACCAGCACCCTGCTCTGAGGTTAGGTCATTACATTAACTCCACTCTGTCTGAAACCCTGCTTTTTTCTTTGAAGACTGTGGTCCCACCTTATCATCTAAATGAGCTTTCTGCCTCCACCCTCTGACAAACACTGTTCCACTGTCTACCCCTCCACTAATGTATGAAATCCTTTCTTCTCTCATAGTCCACCTCTGCCTCCCCATCAGTTGAACACCTGTCTTTTCTACTTTATTTGACTAGCTCTACTTTCCTCCTGTCAAAACTATCCCCACCTCCTTATCTGAACATTGTCCTTCCTATGCCTTCCTACTTCAACTTCCATCCTTTTTACTGTATCTCTTGCTTCTTTGTTTTTCCTTTATCATTGGAGACCAAATCCTGAGCTGTGCACAAGCTAGGCAAGTATTCTACACTAAACTACGCATTTCCAGTCCTGAAGAGTTTTTTCTTCTTCTTCTTCTTTTTTGATTAGGAAAGCAAGGATATTTTCAGTGTGTGCCATTGTTGGGGCTTAAATTAAAATCCTGTGTATTGTCCTCTAGCTTTTTTGTTCAAATCTGATGTTCTATCACTTGAGCCACAGCTCCACTTTCAGCTTTTGTGTTTGTGTTTATTGGAGAGAAGAGTCTCATGGACTTCCCTACCTAGAATGGCTTCAAATTGTGATACTCAGATTTCAAATCTCTTGAGTAGCTAAGATTATAGACATGAGCCACTGGTTCACAGCAGGAAACCAAAGATACTTCTTAAAAATTATTTAAAACACAAACTGCAATTATAGCAAAGAAGATGAGGGCTGGGAAGGTGGCTCAGTGGTAGAGCACTTGCCTTGCATGCATGAGGCCCTGGTTTCGATTCCTCAGCACCACATAAGAAAAAAGCTGGAAGTTGCGCTGTGTCTCAAGTGGTAGAGCGCTAGCCTTGAGCTGAAGAGCTGAGGGACAGCGCCCAGGCCCAGAGTTCCGGCCCCACGACCGGACCCCCCCCCAAAAAAAGTAAAGAAGATGAGAACTGGGGGCCAATTCTAGTTACTCAGGAGGCTGATATCTGAGGATCACAGTTTGAAGCTAGCCTAGGCAGGAAAGTCCATAAGATTCATCTCCAATTATCCAAAAACAGGCCAGAAATAGAGCTGTGTGTCAACTGATAAGACTGCCAACTTTGAGCACAAAAGCTCAGGGACAGTGCTCAGGCCTTGAGTTTGAGCTGCAGGACTGGTGCACATGCACGTGTGCACACACACACACACACACACACACACAAGCATACACACAAAGATAAGAAAATTGTACTTCATTGTATTATTTTTCACAAAATACTAAAACTATAGTATTGAGAATTTAATCTCATTTAAGAAAGTTAATGTGGTTAAAGGTTGCTTTTTGTGCATTTCTGTGAAATTATATAAAAGAATTTATTGTGTATCTCCTATGGAAACGTTTTCTCTATTTTTCTATTATACAAACGTGTCTCTGTGTACTTTATCATATTCTCTATCACTTTCTTTTCCCCTTCTCCCTTTAAACCAATTTTAGCAGGTTGTATTATTCTATTTTCATCCATATATACATATACATGTATATATATATATGTATAGTACTTCAATCATAAGCACCCCTCCTCCAAACTCTATCATCATCAGCTCTTCAATTTTTGAAATAGGCTCTGTGGAGACCAGCCTGGCCTCAAACTCAAGCTCCTCTTGCCTCAGCCTTGTAAATGCTAGGATTAGAGACATACACTATCACATCCAGTTTCATCTCATTTAATTTTTTCATTCTATCTGGGCTTCTATCCTCTGACCAACCATTTCTTCCTCTCCTTTCTGTCTAGTCATCCATCTGTGCTTTTCTCCTCCTACTGACTAGCTCTGTTCCTTGCTATGTCTCTCTGCCTTGCCATCTATATCCCCCCTTCTGACAGTCCACTGTTTTTTGCTTCTCTGTCCATCTGAGAACTTTGCCTTCCTGAGTATCCATTCCTGCTTCCTCCTTCCATCCAGCATCTCAGAGCTCAATCCATCATCCAAGCAACCATACACAGGCCCTGTATTCATCCACCCCAGCACCCTGCTCCCTGGGCCTCTTTGCCCCCACACACTGGGAACAGCACGATTGGCACAATCAGAGTCACTGCGAGCAGCACGGCCAGGCGCACACAGAGGCTGAGCAGGTCCTGCTGGTTGTACATGAACAGCATCTCCTCCTCCATTTTGCCTGGGACATGAGAGAAGAGACATAAGATGCAAGACGTGACAGGAATATGAGGATTGACATCCGCAAACACCACACTCAGTGTCAGAAATCTACACAAGTGAGACCCATGTATCCTCCCCTTGGAAACTGATGGGTCCAAGGTCTGGAAGAGAAGGAGCTCAGAGGTTCTTGTCCCAGCGCCCAGCCCTGGTCCTATCTGTACTCATTGGAGAAGATGAGTTATCTAAAGGAAGCCATGAATCTCTAAATGAAGAACATGGCACTGATAAACACATTGGCCATAGCATTCAGTGTGTGCTAGGAGAAACTAAGGTATATATGCTATGGAACTCTCATGCTGAGAGCCCTGAACTTGACCAGGGCCCTCAATCCCAGTTCCAACCTCCAGAGTCCTCTTCTACCAGACTAACATTCAGTTGGTAGACACTGGCATGCTGTGTGACTAGCCAAGCCTTCCTTCTCTACCCTCCAATCACTCCTTCTGCCCATCTCTCACCTGTTCTGCCCACTCATGCCTCTTCCTTCCATCTGACTACTTATTCTGTCCTATCACCCATATATTCTCCCATTGCTTTAATCTCTGCTTTCCCTTTCCTGTTAACATATCCCTCCTCAGCCATCTGACTACATCTGCTCCCCATCCCTATCCATGCCAACACACCTCCAGTTGACCCTCTGATTTCTGCCATTCTCACAGCTACTGGGGATTAAAATAGTAGGCAAACTCACTCAGCAATCATGGCTGCACTCCAACCCTTGAGCACACCTGACTTCCTGAAACCCTTCCCTTGTCACAATCTCGCCTGAAGCTAAAGTTCCAAAGCTGCTATGGGGACCATCATATACAACAAGCACCCTTCCCCCTCCCAGTTGGCCCATTACACAAGCCCTCCTGGCTGCCCATTCACTGGCAGAGTTCCATGAAAATGGGTAGGACCTCAAGGTGGCACACAAAGCCAAAGCCATAAAGGGCACTGTGTAAGGCACTTGTACAGGAACAGAGAGTCCATGGGTGAGGGTATGCGAGGATTAAAGGACCTCTTTCTCTCTCCTTCAGCCCTGCTGTCACCCTCCCTATCAGACATACATCAAACCCGGAGGTCCACCATGAGGCTCTGCCCAAAGTAATGCAAAAACACCATTTTCCTGATGCATTATTCAAGCCTATAATCAGCACCCACACAAAAAAAGAATTTGATATCTGTAGTCACATCCAGATAATTCGTAACCAAACCAATTATTTATCAGGATACACATAGATAATAAAAAACAAGTTTGCAGTTACAACTATCAGACCACAAACTAATTTCCCTGAAGTCAGACTGAGAAATACAGGCATGCACATTCTCAACATTCAAAGTCCAGGCATTGAATATGCAGAGCTGGGTGTCTAAACAAACAGAGGAGATGGGAGTGGCGTTCATGCCTGTAGTACCAGCACTCTCTACCCCAACCACTGGGAGGCTGAAATGTGAGGATAAGGAAAGAATTGTGAATCCCAAGGAAACCCGGCCACAGTGTAGCCGTGTCCACATTTCCACTCAAGTAGCACCCACCTCTTCCTGAAGGGCGGCCAGGCAGTCAGGGCATGCTTACCATTGCCCACATCATCTCCTTTCTGGTATCTTTTCCCGTTAGTGGCTTTGACGGCCCACAATTGTCTCTGGATCTCTCACTTTTCTTCCTTCTCCATTTCTTCCTATGTCTATCTTCCCATGTCCTATTGTCAGCAGGACCCCTTGCCTGTACCTCTCTGCACTCTCCCCCAAATCCCATACCTTGGGAAGATGATGTTACATTCAGACCTGCAATTGGGATCAGAAACAGGACCACATTCAATTCTCCCTCCCCCACCATGCACATTTGCCCTTAATGTCCTTGGAGTCACAATAAGGTTCTTATTTATCCAACACGGGGGTTTGAACTCTGGGCCTGAGCCAGACAATGTCCCTTAGCTTTTTCACTTACAGCTGGCACTCTCCACCTGAACCACACCTCCATTTTTAGATTTGTGGGGATTAATTGAAGATAAAGAGTCTCATGGAGTTCCCTGCCTGGGCTGGCTTTAAACCACAATCCTCTGATGTCAGCCTCCTTAGTGGCTAAAATTACAGGCATGAGCCACTGGTGCTCAGTTTACAGTGGTTTCTATATCCAGCCTTCCTTCTCTATGCCAACTGTATAAACTCTGGGAAGATGCCCACCACACCTGAGCCCCATCACTTTTCTATAGGAAAATGTTGAGGTGACTGTGGTCACCTTCCAAGGCTGAGTGTGAGGTAGTCAAGATAGCTTCAGTGCTGTCTGCATCCTGGGCCAGTGTTTCATGTCTATTGGTAGCTTCTCTTCTAGTTCTAGGAATTGGACCCAGGACCTCATGCATGCCAAGCATGCAGTCTACCACTGAGCTACTCCTCAGCCCACCCTTGGTGGCTGTGTGTCTATGTGTGTGTGTGTGTGTGTGTGTGTGTGTGTGCCGGTTTTAGAGGTTGCACTTAGGACCTGGGTGCTGTCTCTTAGTTTTTTCACTCAAGGCTAGCATTCTATCAATTGATCCATGGCTCTACTTCAAGCTTTTTGTTTTGGGTGGTTAATTGGGAAAAAAGAATCTGAAGGACTTTCCTGCCTGGGGTGGCTTCTTGATCCTCAGATCTCAGCCTCCTCAGTGGCTAGGATTATAGGTATGAGCCTCTGATTCCCAGTCATTTGTTGGTTTTTAATGTTCTCCAACATGCAATCATTTGTTTCAAAATACTTAAAACATCCAGTACTAGAATACCACCTCTATATATGGGTGGTTATTTGTCTATCTTACCTTGCTGTGTGTCTCTTCACACCTAGGACAGTGCTCAACACACAACACTAATTCATTAGATGTTTTTTAAATAAGGAATGATTCCTTTGATGCAGCATTTTTAAGTCCTTTCCCTAAAATCCCCACTCACACACTTGCATAGGTCCATGTACCCAAGAATGAATGGAGTGAACAATGGAAAAATTTGCAAATGTTTATTAATTGCTAAAGTAAATAAAGGAGTGTGGAACATGTACCAAACAGGAAACAGAGACTAGTCCAAATACATTTGTAGTGGAGAGGGCAGGTAATTGATTCTCATAGTGGTGCTGCATGTATGTAAATTCAGATAAAAATCTGGAATAAAGCACCTAGAACTACCCTCAGTAGTCACTTCTGGGGTAAGCAGGGGGTAGTGCTACTATATTCAGAGAATGACCAGTAAAACTTATTTCTTATGGTAAGTGCATAAATACACAGAAATATTCATCAAGTGTATCTTGCTTTAACAGTCTCTGCCACACAGAAAGAATGTAGCACACATAGTAAGTGCCAAGCTAACAGAGTAAGCACGATGGTAATGGAGTATTTGGCACAAACAAAGAAATTGCCAACATTATTTGTTACACAATAATAATGCAGCTAACAGAATTTTGGGCACACAATAAAAACAATCATGTTTAACTTTTACAGTGGTGAATTCTTCCTTTTACTTGCTGATGTCCAGGGGTTCACAGCTGGGCCCGTGATTGTAAAACATCACCAGGTTTTGCTCCTCATCACAGGCCCCGTCACTTACCAGAGAGCAAGGAAAAGAGAAGGAAAAGAAACAGCAATGAGTTTCAACTACATATTAACTGCATCTCCAACCCTTCCTCTGAACCTACAAAATATTGTGTATTCTTTTTTTAATTTTTTTATTAATGAGTTTTTTATTGTGAAAATACTGTAATAATGTGTATTGTTATTCTGCCAGCCCTCAGAACCTCAGCTCCTCCAAGAAAATCCTCTGCTAGGCAAAAGTCACTCTTTTCACCTGACCTCTAATTCCTAGACCAAAGGAGGTTGTATCCTGTACACTGAGCATTGGCCTGGAGGTTAGAAGCCCACAGCATCTTGGAGAGAGATGATCCACAGATACATAGAGCAGGCAGCAGAGAAACCAAGGAAAAATCTAACTTAGCCTCAATGCTGTCCTCCAAGAGATGAAAACAGTGAATGATTTGAGAGAATAAGTGACCAGATGGGATCCACATACCATATTAAAATGAATTTGCGAGGGGGTGGGCCATTGGTGAAAGGGTCAAACTTACAGATTCAGTATTCTTCATCTCCTAAGATGTATTCTTCTATTTCTATGTCATCCTCGTCGTCGTCGTCATCATCTTCGTCGTCATCATTATCATCATCATCATCTTCTCCTTCTTCTTCAAAGTAGTATAAATCTTCTCCAATGTAGTAGTCATCTTCATCATCTTCGTCACCATTAAAATTATCATTGTCTTCATATTCTCCGATGAAGTAGTCTTCATCGGATTCTTCTCCATTATATTCATCTTCCTCATTGTAGTCTTCTTCCTCATTGTATTCTTCTCCACTGTGGTCTTCACTGGTTTTTTCTGCCTCTCCTCCATTATATTTTCCTTCATCATCAGATTCTTCCTTTTCTTTCCCATTGCACTTTTCTTTTTCTTCCTCATCAGATTCTTCCCCATTGCACTCTTCTTTTCCTTTCTTGTTGAATTTGTCTTCTTTTTCCTGTTTCTCCTCTTCCTCCTCTTCCTCTTCTTCCTCCTCATCTTCCTCCTCCTCCTCTTCCTCTTCATCCTCCTCCTCTTCTTCCTCCTCTTCTTCCTCCTCTACTTCCTCCTCCTCCTCTTCCTCCTCCTCCTCCTCTTCTTCTTCTCCTCCTTCTCCTTCTTTGTCATCTACTTCTACTTTTACCTCTAATTTTTCATCATCATCTTCATCATCTTCTTCTTCAGGGTCACTAATCTCTTCATATACCACAAGATTCTTCCTTTCCCGCAGCCTGTGGGTCCAGATATTTTTCTTCTTCCTCCATGATCCTGATAGGGGGAAGAATTGACAAATGAGGTTTGAAAGGTACTGCAACTGTTTTCTGGAAAGGAAACATGTCACTCAAAGTGCTCATGGGCCCCTATATGTTCTTCTGGTTCAGTCAGTGAGACCTCACATCCACATCAATGTGGTCCTAATGCCAGAACAAGTTTTAGCTTTTTGTCTCACTCAGGTTTAGATTCCAACCCTCTTTTCTCTCTAAAACATTCCAGGGCACCTTATGTCACTCACTTTGCATGTATTTATGTTTGTCAGGCATCAATCTGGATATGATACATTCCCAGGGTAAAATCACTTGAGAAACTTTCATGCTTTGAAGTTTTCCAAATTTTTATATAGTGTTTCCAAAATGCTTACAAATTATGATTTTTTTCATTCCATTTTATGACTAAGAATATGGAGCTCAGATAATTTAGATTTGAAGTCTTAGCTGTTGTTAGGTGAACTCCTCAGCTCAGCTTGGACCTGGGCTTGTTCAGGATCCATGCCCTCATCCCCATACCACACCTATGAACAGAGCCAGGGAAGCCGGGGTGGAGGGGGGCGCGGGAGGATGTTTCTGAATCAGTTCCTCTCACCTGAAGTCTTCTCGCTGCACTTGCCAGAGGCACTTTCTTTTTCTGGGGTGCACATGTTTTTCACAGCCACTAGTGTGGAGTCTACTGCTCTGGATCGTCCTTTTTGAATACTGCTTTTCTTTGCTGACTGCTTGTCCATCTTTTTAATGTGGAAGTCACATAGAAACAGAATCAGCAGCAGTGACACTTCTCTAGTGCTTTAGTGCTTATTAAAATATCTTTGCATGTGTCACCATAATTAATTTTCTCACCAATTCTGGGAGCTCATTACATTACATGAACCTAAGCTATGGAGAAGCTGAAGTGAAAAGGAAAAGGTCATGGGAGGCACTAAACAAATGATGTTTCCAGGTCTAGAACACTAGTATTCATGTTCTGTCTGGACTCACATTCTTGTAAACAGGGAATAGGAAGTGGTGCTGTGGCTCAAGTAGTAGAGCACTAGCCTTGAGCTGAAATGCTGAGGGACAGTTCCCTGGGCCCAGAGTTCAAGCCCCACAACCGACAAAAAAGACAAAAACAAAAAAACAGGGAATAAAAATGTCTCTTTGAAATTGAGAGTGTACTATCCAGAAGATTGGGGAAAGAAAACCATGCAAGGTCTGTGAGAGGAAGTGCTTCTAGAAGGGGGCAGGGGAGTCACAAATAAACTTATGGACAGCTATGGGGACAAGTAAATGTAAAAGTGAAGAAAGGGAGTTAGGCCCTGCTGGGAAGGTGAGGGTAGGGACAGAAATTAGCCGCATGAATTGATATAGGCAGCAAAGGAAGTGGTACCAGATATGGCATACCACTCTATGCTGGTGTGAACACAATGTGGAATTAGGCAAGGTGGTACTGTTTTAATTCAATTTAATCACTGTGTCTCACAGTCAATAATCCTAAGCCTCCTTTCATTCAGCTTCCTCATTCATAGAGTAGAGAACACATGTAAAACAAGTTAATGGCTAAACTTTGGTGACTCATGCCTGTAATCCTAGCTACTAAGGAGGCTAAGATCTGAGGATCAAGGTTCAAAACCAGCTCAGGCAGAAAGTCTGTGAGACTCTCATCCCCAATTAACCAGCAAAACGTTAGAAGTGGAAGTATGGCTCACTCAAGTGGTAGAGCACCAGCCTTGAGCAGAAAGGCCAAATAAGAGTATGAGACCCTGAGTTCAAGCGCAGTACTGGCTCAAAAAACAAAAACAAAACAAAACAAGTTAAAGGAACATACTTTTGAATAGTTAAGTACTGTTTATACTTATTATTCCCCTCTGTATGTGTATGTGTGTGTGTGCACGCGCACGCGCGCACACACACACACACACACACACACACACCAGTACTGGAGCTTGAACTCAGAGCCTTACATTCTTGCTTAGCTTTTTTTTGCTCAAGGTTAGTAATGCTCTTTCACTTTAAAAATACCTCCACATCTGGCATTTTGCTGGTTAATTGAAGATGTGTCTCTTGGACTTAACTGACCAGGCTGGGTTCAAACTTCAATCTTCAGATCTTAGCCTTCTGAATACCTAAGATTACAGGCATGAGCATTGGTGTCTGGCTCTATTATTTGTTTTCAAGACAGAATATCCCTATCTAGATCTGGTTGGTCTCAAACTTGCCATCCTCCTGCCTCAGCCTCCAGAGCACTAGAATGACAAATGCGCTCTTCCACATCTAGCTTGCTTTTCTTTTCTATTTGTGTGTGTGTGTGTGTGTGTGTGTGTGTGTGTGTGTGTGTGTGTGTGTCAGTCGTGGTGCCTGAACTCTGGGCCTGGGCGCTGTCCCTCAGTTCTTCAGCTCAAGGCTACCACTCTACCACTTTGAGCCAAATGCCACTTCTCGTTTTTAAGTGGTTAATTGGAGATAAGAGTCTCACGGGGACTTTTCTGCCCAGTCTGGCTTTCAACTGTGATGCTCAGATCTCAGCCTCCTGAGTAGTTAGGATTATAGGCATGAGTCAATGAGGTGTGGCCAGCTAGGTTTTCTTAAGGAGTAAATAAATTAATCCATATGAGTTGCTTACGATAATATGTGACATTAGTTTGGGGGAAAAAATAGTATTAACAGCCAGGTGCAGGTGGCTTGTACCTGTAATCCTAGCTACTCAGGAGGCGGAGGATCTTGGTTTGAACCCAGCCCAGGCAGGAAAGTCTGTGAGATTCTTACATCAAATTAACCACCAGAAAACCAGAAGTGGCACTGTGGTTCAAAGTGGTAGAGTGCTAGCCTTGAGCAAAAAAGAGCTCAGGGATAGTGCCCAGGCCTCACGTTATCTTGATTTTGAGTATAAAGTATTAAGTTATAATATATTGGACATTGTGATAAAGAGATGAGGATGGATTGGATGTAAAATAAGTGCTTGAGCTTTTATTTAACATTTGCAAGATAATTAAAAAAGAAAAAGAAAACAAAGATGAGAAAAGGGAGGCACTGAGGCTAGTACATTTTTTGGTAACTCTTCTACTCTTAGTAATATTGACCTCTATGAAAGGACATAGGTGCTTTGGTCCTCTAGATTTAGGAGATACTCACCTTTGGACGTTTTGTCAGTTGCTTGCCAGAATGTTTCTCTGAAAGGGAGTGAAAAAAATCACAATTTTTGTCCTTTTTGGTAAAAATTCCCCATGTTGGAGCAAAAGATTGCAATCATATCATTGTGGAGGAGCTGTATTAAGTTGGCTTCTTTTTAAAAAATATTTTAACTGAGGACTGAATTCAGGGTCTCATGCTTACTAAATAAGTGCTTGTTTAGACCATTCCCCATGTCCTTTTGGCTTCTGAAGTGTTTTTCAAATAGCTGTCTGCCCTCACACTTTATTCCTCCTATCTCTACTTCCTAAATAGCTGATGTCATAGGTGTGCTATATCATTCCCAGCATTGCAGGGGAGTGGGGCGATGGTTATCACTCTCCCCCTTGAGTCATACCTCCTCCTGGCTTTTTGCTGGTTAATTGGAGATGAAGTCTTATGGACTTTTCTGCCCTGGATAACTTAAAATTGAGAGCCGTATGTCTCCAGAGTGGCCAGGATTACAGGTGTAAGCCATGGGCACCCAGTATAGAATCCGGTTTGACTGAGGATGAGATGATATTTGGCTTTGGTAAAATATAGGGAAATACTTATCGTCATTTGTCATTTGCTAATCACTTTCTTATGCACTGAATTTTGGTAGATTTATCCTTTAAATAAATTTCCTAATTGTTCTTTGACTTAATGACAGTGTTAACAAAAGAAACATTTCCCTAAAAAAGAAAAGAAATATTTAGCCAGATTATAGGTGGCTCACAGCTGTAATCCTAGCTACTCTGGAGGCTGAGATCTGAGGACCAAGGTTTGAAGCTGGCCCCAGCAGGAAAGTCCATGAGACACTTCTCCGCAATAGACCACCAAAAAAGCCAGGAGTGGAGCCATGGCTCAAGTGGTAGAGCACTGGCCTTGAGTATAAAGAAGCTCAGGGACAGAGCCCAGGCCCTGAGTTCGAGCCCCAGGACTGGCACAGAAAAAGAAGAAGAAGAAATATTTAGTTGGGCACTGGTGACTCATGCCTGTAATACTAGCTACTTGGGAGAGTGAGATTGAGAGGATTGAAATTCAAGTCAGATCAGACAGAAAATTTTGGGGGTGGAGGGGAGGATGCCTTCTCTCCTAACCAAGAGCTAGGTTCAGTGTGCACTCCTGTTATCCTAACTGGAAAATCTAGCATAGGTAGATTGAACCCACCCAGGCCACATACCTGAGAAGGAAGTAAGATCCCATCTCAAAAATAAATGACAACTAAAAATCAACCAAAAAACAGGGCCAGAGTTATGTCTCAGTGGTAAGAGCACCTGCCTAGCAAGTTTTAGGCTTAGTCTAAACATCAGTACTACTACCAACCCCCCCCTCTAAAGACAAACAATCTCCTCCAAAACACCCACAACAGTTAAAATGTACAGAAAATTATGGGAAATTATATCTTGCTTTGTATGCATGAGGCCCTGGGTTTGATTCCTCAGCACCACATAAGCAGAAAAAGCCGGAAGTGGAGCTGTGGCTCAAGTGGTAGAGCTCTAGCCTTGAGCTGAAGAGCTGAGGGACAGCGCCCAAGCCCAGAGTTCAGGCCCCACAACCAGACCCCCCCCCAAAAAAGCTAAAGGACAGCTATCAGACCCTGAGTTCAAGCCCCAGTACTGGAACAAAAAGAAAAACCAAATATGAGACCCTTACTTAAAAATGAACTAAAAAAGCCAGTGTTACTAGCTCACACCCTATAATCCTAGCTACTTAGGAGGTTGAGATTTGAGGATCCAGGTTCAAAGCCAGTCCAGGCAGGAAAGTCCATGAAACTCTTATCTCCAATTTATCAATGTAAAAGCTGGAAGTAGCACTGTGGCTCAAGTGGTGGTTGCTAGCCTTGAGCCAAAATGAGCTTAGGGACAGTGCCCAGGCCCAGAGTTCAAACCCCAACACTGGCAAAATGCATACATACATGCATGCACATATACATACATACATACATAAATGTAAAGTGGGCTGGAGGTGTGCCTCAACTTGTAGAGTGCCTACCTAGCAAGCATGAAGGCTCTACATTCAAATTGTATTATCATCAAAAAATTTTAAGGGCTGGGAAGGTGGCCCAGTAGTAAGAGTGCTTGCCTTGCATGCATGAGGCCCTGGGTTCGATTCCTCAGCACCACATAAGCAGAAAATGCCGGAAGTGGCGCTGTGGCTCAAGTGGTAGAATGCCAGCCTTGAGCTGAAGAGTTTAGGGACAGCACCCAGGCCCAGAGTTCAGGCCCCACGACCGAAAAAAAAAATTTAATTGCCAGGAACCGGTGGCTCACACCTATAATCCTAGCTACTAAGGAGGTTGAGATCTGAGGATCAGGGTTCAAAGCCAGCCCAGCAGGAAAGTCCGTGAGACTCTTATCTCCAATAAACCACTAGAAAACTAGAAGTGGCGCTGTGCCTCGCGTTAAGCTAAAGAGCTGAGGGACAGCACCCAAGCCCAGAGTTCAAGCCCCACAACTAAAAACAACAAAAAGCTATCTGCTTTCCCTGCCCTCCATTCTTTTGTACTTTAGCCCCTCTCCTGAATTTGATGGTTTTGTTCTCACTCAGCTTTTTATGCATTTACTTATTTGTTTTTTTATGCTGGTACTAGGACTTAAATTCAGGGCCTGAGCACTGTCCCTTAACTTTCCCCCTCAAGGATAACACTCTACCACTTGAGTCACAGCTCTACTTCTGGTATTTTGCTGGTTAGAGAGAAGACTTTCATGGATTTTCCTGCCCGGGCTGGCTCTAAAACAGAATTCTCAGGTGTCTGGCTCCTGAGTAGATACGAGTACAGATGCTAGCCAATAGTACCTGGCTTATGCATTTACTTTTTCACCATACTATATATTCTCATTTTGCATTTATCAACTCTTTTTCACTTAGTTTGGGATATGAGGGAGAGAGGAGGTACTTGGGACCACTGACCAGGCAGCTGAAGCTAAATAAGCAGTTTGACTCAATAAGAACCTTTACAGTCCTCCTGTCCACTCACCCATGTTATCATGGCTGCAGCCTTCATCAGAATCAGTACCCAGGGATTCCTCCGCCATCTCTTTGGGTTCCATGAAAGGTGGAAGGGTGGCACTGAAACCTAGAAAGAAGTAATTATGTTGGCTGGGAAGGGCTCAGTGGTAGACTGTTTGCCTTGCATTCACGAGGCCCTGGGTACGATTCCTCAGCACCACATAAGCAGAAAAAGCCCGAAGTGGCGCTGTGGCTCAAGTAGCAGAGTGCTAGCCTTGAGCTGAAGAGCTGAGGGACAGCGCCCAGGCCCAGAGTTCAGCCCCCACGACCAACAAAAAAGTAATCGTGTTCATTGATACAATCTGAGAGGAACAATGAAGAACTGGTGCTGATATGCTTCGTGGACAGATAGTCTCATCAGAACAAAGGCCAGCAGGAAGGAAAGATGTAGACCATAGGTCTGAGTCCTATGGTGGCCAGTTCTTGCCCTCAGCCTTGCATGTAATATAAAAGAGCAGGGTGCATTTCTCCCTGCACAAAAGCAAAAACCCTCATTATGTGTGGGTGAGTGGGAATTTGCTACAGTTGAAGAGGCCATAGCATGGAAATTATATAAGAAGTTGTTCATAATTTCCAAGCTTGTCTATACCCAGAACTACTTGTTACCTAGGCTAGACATGGTGGTGTAGTTTCTTTTCATGTATACATAGGAGATTTTCTGCGAATAGCTCAGCTTTTCCCACTCATCCTTGGAGAAATATTTGGAAATATCCTCGAAGGCCTAGAAAAGAAGGCAAAGTTAATTGTAGTAGATACTTAGCTAGACATACATGTCGCTCATCCCAGTTACTTTTTCTGCTACATGAGGGAAATGGGGATGATCCTATTGGGATAAGATGATGGTCAAGAGGGAAACGGTGACTTTGCCCAGTCTACCATGCTTAGAGCAGGGTGTGCCACTAGCTTGCTCTCCTGTCACCTTTTAGAATTTTCTGAGACTCTGGCTATATCAGCTGGAACATGTTAGGTCTCATCAGAATAGACTAGAAGTCACTGAGTATGGTACAATGTCATAGACCTGCTGTCACCAGTGAAGCTGGGTGGAGGGTGAGTTTGGAAATGTGCTAAGGCTCTGCAGCTACTCCTGAAACCTCATTCCTTATCCCCCAGTGCCTCCACTCTTATCTTCTGAGAAACCTATTTGTTATGCCCTGCCCCTGACCACTCCTCTGCATCCCCACAGATCACATCACCTGGTATTTCTCTGGTGAGTTCTGACTATCTTCCCTGGGGATCTTTGAAAAGGAGCCGTCACTGTTCATGGCACTGGAAATAGTATGACCTCAAAAGTACACAAACTGATTCACAACAGCCACACAGCTGAAGGTCCTGAGAAGAGAGGAGAGGGGATAAATCATGGAGGATCTGCAACACTCAACCAGTCACCTGGAATTTGGTTCTACTTTTCTCTATCCTGGTATCTGTTTGTCTCTGAGAAAGTACACTCTCATGCATACACACATGTGTGCTGTGGCTGAAGTGGTATGGTGCTAGCCTGAACACAAGGAGGCTCAGGGACAGCACCCAGGCCCTGAGTTCAAGCCCCAAGACTAGAAAAAAGGGTTGATTTCATATTAGATAAAAGTTGAATAGTGGTTAGTAGAGACTGGAAAGAGGGAAAGGGCCAATAACAAATATAATTGGAGCAGTGGACTAATTTCCAGTTTCTTCAGAACATTAAGGTGACTACAGTTTTCAATCACCAATTATGAATGTTATAAAGAAATAGAAGCTGAGGTTATACACACATATATTCCCAGCACTAAGGATGATAAAGAAGATGGATCAAAATTTCCAGGTCACCCTGCACTTATATAGTGACGGTATCTCTAGACACTGTTGAAAATGAATTGTACAACTTGTGGATGGGAACTAGAGGGAAAAACTGGGAAAGAGTGAGGGAAAGGGTGACATTGCCCAAAAAGAAATATACTCATTACCTGATTTATGGAACTGAAACCCCTCTGTATTTTCAACTTTATAATAACAATTTAAAACATTAAAACAAAACAAGCAAAGAACTAGAAGAATGTGAGGCTCTGGGCTCACTGACCAGTACCACAAACAAATAATTTCAAAGCCTCCCAAAGACATGATAAATATTTGAATATTGAAAAATGCTTATTATTCTAATTTGATCAATACACAATACATATATGCTGATTTTTCATACTGCCCCCAAAATATGCATAATTATTATATATCAATTATAAATAAAAAAGGAAAAAAATCCTAGTTGGGAGGCCTGTGTGCTAGTACTTAAAAAAAGCTGAGCACAAGGAAATGGGTACATGCAAGGGGGAGGGGGTCAGGAAAAGGGAGGGAGGTAGACAAATGAAGGGGGAATGAGGGAGAGAATGTCATCAAGAATTAATTGTGTATGTCCCTCCCTCACGGTATAACCCATGCTTTCACTGTATTTAAGGTTGGTATAATTTGTGGAGGGGAAGGGAAAAAACAAATCATTTAACTAGGGATACAGGTGGACCCATTGCAACAATGAGATGTACAAGTCGTTATGTTGAAAAACGAATTTTACAACTTTGGTGGGGGGTGGGGGAAGGATCGGGTGGGGGGGAGAAGGGGAGTATGGGAAGGGATGGGAAGGGGAAACAAA